ATTATACTCTTGCCATATAATGCCATATATAATAATTATGAAGTCAACCTGAAAAGTACATCTCTAGAAAATAACTGAGCCCTACACTGGTATAAAATATGACTAAGAAAATTCCCCAACTAAAGAAAATGTAATTAATCAACCTTTTCCGATTTTCTTCAGAGATAATATTTATTATTTTATAAATTACCAATCAAAAAAAGCATCTGGCAACGACTTAATAACCTTTCGTATCCTGAAAAACCAATATTATTCTTAAATCATATCTACATTACTTTAATGAGACTTGTATTTCCCTGCATTCTGAAAAAAATTGAATATTATAGTCCCAATTTTAAAACCAAATAAACCTCCTATGTGCTATTTATCATATTGTCCAATAACCTTTTCCAAAATACTGGGAAAAATCATTCTTTAATGAATTTACCCTATTTCAATCCAAAATAATATAGTTTCTAATACTCATTTTGGGTTCAAATACAAACACTTAACCACTCACCAACTACAGTGATTTTAAATTTATCCTCTATTAAGGTACCTAATACAACACATAGACTAAAAAAGAAATGGTTCATAGACCTTTTATTCTAACCTAACATTAAAAAAAAAAATTAAAAATGATCAAGTTTATTTTTAGTTTTTAATAAATTTACATAAATAATCATAATATATTATAAACATAACATTTAATATAATTTTGATGTATTATGTTTTAGTTGATACAAATTTAATTGCGTTAGCAATGCACAAACTATCAATCGACAACACAAATGTTGCAGATGTACTGACTGACTGCAACATTTATCTCACTAAATTGAACCGTTCTGATTTATTAAAATCAGCTAACCTCATGGATTTAAATCTTATTTTTGATTGCTTGAATACTACTGATCAGTAAGTAAAATGATTAATCATTTTGAATATTAATTATTGTAATGCAGTTATTCAATCATTTTTATAGAAAACAAATTGAAATGAGCTGTGCCTTGCTCCAGAAACTTTTATCTATTTTACAGCCAAATCAAGCATTTAATAAGTATTCAGCCAGCATTGAACGTTCTATACATCATCCAAATGATACAGTTAAATCTACTATTTTATCAGAGGTTAATATTGCCAATAAAATATGGTTTATTATATTTTAGTCTTTATTCTATGCATTATTAATTAAACAATTTTTTTTAGTTAGAAAAAATGTTAGCTACTGATGATAATGTGGACATCCAAGTGGATTTGGCATGTACTATAGTCGACTGTTTAACAAGCAGTGATATGTCTGTTTCATACAATGCAGTAAAATGTCTTAAACGATTTCAAAGTGTTGAAACCCTTTCTTCAGTTCCAATATTATCAAAATTACAAACCATAATGGCAACTGATGCAAAAATACGTACACGTGTCTATGATGTGAGTTACTTACTCATATTGTAGTTATTAAATAATTACTGGGTATTTTCAAATTCATAAATTATTTTAACTATTAGTTTTTTTTAAATGTTTTCTTATTATTTTTTTTTTACAGATTTTAATTCATTGGGCTAAATCTGTGGATGCTTTAGCTTTAATAAGTTCCAAAGGTCTCTTTACCAATTTGGTTAAAGACATCACCTACCCAGATATAATGATGCAGATGGTTACTATACAAATGTTAATTCCTTTGAGTATCACTGAATATGGATTTGATTATTTGAATTCTATTGGAATTATAAGTGGATTGTATCGTTTACTGAGCTCTAATCCAAAAGAATTGGTAGACCCTTCTGTTGTCATACTTAACCCTAGTATGTACCACTTTTATAATCTGTATATATTTAATATGATAAATTAATATTAAAAATTATGTGTGTGCAGTTGTGTTGGAGTTTTTCATAAAAATTACTCAAGTCAGACCACTTTTCATGTTAACTACATATCCCAAAGTGTTTGTTGTACTTTATGAAGTGTTAAAAGAAGGGGATGATTCACTAGTAGGTGTGGCTATAAATGCAATCACTACCTTGGCATCTTCTTGGGAGTGCAAAATGTCGTTAGACAGTCATTCAGCTTGTATGATATTAAACTATGACGGTAAAGTGTGTTAAGCTTAAATATTAAAAATGTATTATATATATTCAACTATAATTATTTTTACTCAACATTTTAATTAATTATTTATTATAAACAGGTGAAGAGGAATTAGACGTTTGGAGTATATTTATCATAGAGTTAAATCGTATTGCTACTAGTACCAAAACTGAATTAAAAGCAGGAGCTATTCAAGCAATCACAAAGATTATTGAAGTAGAGGTAATTAAGATCTTTGTATATTATTGCAGTAGACACAGTGATAATTCACACGTCTTTGTTGAAAAATTTTTTGATATCTTGAAGGAACATCATGCTCACTGCATCTCAATATTTATATACAGTTTTTTATAATTCTAAGTTTTGATAACTAGAATTATTTTATTTTGTCCCGACCAATTCGAGTTATCAAGGTTTTGTTCGTTCTATATATTATTATAATTTACTAAATCCCTAAAGTATTATTGAATTGTTGTTTATGTTATGAATTTTAATTTTAATTTATTATATCTTCATAAATTTAATTACAACTTATTCATATTTTGAAAAAATTCTAAATTTACAACACATTTAGTAATTAAGATGCATTTTAATCTGTTGTTAAAAATAAGCGTCTTTATTATAAATAAAATTGTTCTTCCAGTATACTTTATTTAATTTAGGTTTTCCCTAAAATGAACATTAAAATGGTTCCCCGCCTTATAAATATTTGGTACAAATTAAAGATAATTTCTCTTTAATAATTTGTATTACCTTTAACTCAATATTTAAAATTATTGGTTTTATTTTTATACTCACATAAACATTGTATTTTAGAGTGGTGAACTTTCTACAAGAAATGATATGATTGAACATACAAAAAAATGGTTCAAACAATTGAAAGATAATCCATTAAAAAATATTGTCCATGCATCATGTATCGTACCATTTTTAGACATACAGCAAGCTGGATATGAAATGTTCCAGGCACTGGCTGAACAACCATGGGGCCAAGAAGAAATTAATAAATGTCCATGTAAGTATAATTAGTATCTAAATATTAATTTATCATTTTTAACTTTTTAAGCAAGCTTTTAACTTGTGTACATTTTCTTATGTCAGTACGTTTTAATTTCAGCATTACTGGATCTTGTGTTTAAGGACTGTCCAAAAGATCCTATTCCAATAAAAGATTTGAAGAAAATGATTATTAAAACTCTATTAGAGTCTGATACTTCTAAAAATACTTTAAGTGAAGAACTTTTATTCCGAATTCAAAATAGTAATGTTATAAAATCAAATGAACATGCACCTCAACCTGATGTGTTAGTGGAAAATATGTCCATTTAATAATTCAATTCATTTACTATATAAATATTATTCATATTGACTTATACAATATGGTGTATTTTTTATAACTCAATAATTTCAATAATTGTTTTGATCTTTAAACTTTTTTTTTTTTACTTATTATTAGTTAAGGTTATTTGATTTAATTTTTTTTTCTTCAATATTATATAAATTACTAACCCTTTAAGTTTAAAGAAAAAACATCAAAGAATTTTTTTTATTAACAAATTAAGGGTAATTTATAAAATTATCTATAGCATTTTGTGTCATAAAATTGGTATTGTATTCATTTCATAAAATAGAATAAAGACTGAATATACAATTCATTGAGGGTCAAAGTATTGTATAAGTATAATTTTTAATATATTTTACTTTAAACATTTAAATCATTGATTTTTTTCTTTTGTGTTTTTATAGTGGTTGAAAATTATATTTTTAAATTCTTGTAATATTATGATAAATTAGTTTTCCCAACTATTGAATTAGCCTTTTATTCAAATACCTCAAAGTTTAAACCATAATTATTTAAATGCTATCATAAGACTTAATTTTGTTTGATAAATACTAGATTCTAAACCATAAATCATTCCTACTTTGTCATTCAGCTGGATGCTGCAATTAGTTGTATTAAATTTGAATTTATTGATAAATCATTGAAAATGATTCTAAGTTAATAATATTTCTAAAGTTATTTTAATATTTAGTATTATATTTTTTTTATTGCTATAATTAATATGGTAGATACCTTTTATACAGGGTATGATCTATTTATGCGGAATCCTGTATTGCATTTTAAATTTTTTTAACGTGGCATATGAAATTTCATCAATATTTATAGCAAAAAAATTGACTAAATGAAACAATTTTAATTTTTATGTATAGCTTAAAATTAGCCTTGAGAGGAGGACGTGTCAAATCCAAATTTGTTTTCCATTTTTTCAATTATGACAAGGAAAACGTGTGATAATTGTACATTTTTAAATTTTAAAATCCTCATAACTTGCTAAAAAATTAAAATGTTGATAATAAGTAAAATCACTCTTAACATTTAAACATAATATAGAGTTAAATAGATTATTTGTGACTTCTGTATATCATACATAATTTAATGCCACGAACTAAGAAATTAATTTACTAATTGTAATCAACAGTTTTACAAAATAATTGAAAAATAATAGCCTGTTGGGGTTAGATTATGATGTTAGGAATAATTAAATAAGTCAAAATATTAATTACATTTTACGTATATTTTTTCAAATGTTACAAACAGATACACAATGAAATTATAACAATATTTAATGTTTTAGGAAGCAGTGCATCATTATCATATATCTAAAAATATCTACTGTCAAATTATAATTAATTTGTTACATTAAATTAAATACAACAAATATAAAAAAGATGTTGCATATTACATTATTAACCTAATTCCTAAATAGTTATAATATACTTCAATAATCAGTAACATTTTTAGGTAAATACGTAAACATATAATTATTTAAAACGAAAATGATTTTATATTAATAGGTATAACAACAATTATTAACATACAATATAATAATAATATGTTCTGTTATTAAAACAATAATCAACAAAAAAAAATATTATAAATTAATTTATAAATACTCTGTTTTTCTCGCCACAATAAGTAGTAAGTACTATTAGTGTAATATTTATAATCTGTTCACAAGATGAGAAAATTTCGTTTTCGAGTCGGTGGACGAGTCACGAGTTTATATAATACAATACAATAATAAAATAAAATAATAGGCATGTATGTCAATGTAATGAAATACAGAAAATATAAATGATCAGTGGTTGTTCCGTTTGGTAGGTGATACGAGTTTCAGCAGCGACACGATCGGTGCCTCGAATGCGATAGACAAGATGAACGCAAAAATGTAAGACACAACAATTTGCCCCAAGAACAATATTGCCTGAAAACCAAACGAAGTCAAATCTGTATTTAGGTATACTTTATAGTAGGTGGTCAAATAGAGATGAAAAGTTCCAGTAGAGGTAAGTTACTTACTTATGTTATACTCATCATCAGTTATTATTGCTTATTCCTATTATGTAGATAAGTCCTTTTACTGGGTTATAAACTATGATTGAGAATGAGAGAGAGTTATAATAATATTTACTAATCAACATCGAATCCATAACTTAATAGGTAGTTTGTTTTGCACAACTACACAAGTCTTTAATATTAATGTACCCACATACACTAAAGTTCATTAAAAAAAAAATGTTTGTGATGATAATCGTGTAATGATAACTCATGAAATAATATTATTGGGTTATTTTTGTAACTGATTAAGTTAAAAATACGTCAACATATTAATATATTATATTAATAGATGTGTGAAATAAATATAGATACCTTATGGTACTTTATGTAGGTAATGATTTGAGGAAAACAATGTATTCATCTTATAAGTTATAATTCAAAAATTGTATGTTAAATATATTGCATTCTTTTTTTATTAATTTAAAAGATTTAAAGATATTAGATAACTACTGTAGGTACCTAGATCGGCTAGATGCTAGATCTTAGTGGGTAAAATGATACTTCTCCCCCCTCCCCCCTGAAAAAATGTATTGCCATTTGCCACCTCTTTACAATCATGTCACAACTCTTCTCGTTTCTTGCGTAGGTATATTTGAGTTTAGTCAATATAGGTTGATAAGACACTATTTGCAAGTAAAAAATACATTTTAACTTTAGAACTACATATAGTTGGTAGGTACAGTTTTGAACCACTTCCATCTATTGATCTATACACTTATTACAGATCACAGACGGATTTACACAATTGCCGCCCCTAGACAAATTTTTTTTTGCCACCCCATTACGACTTAGTAAAAAACAAAATAATGAAATATGTAATCTATGGTTAGTATTTAGATAATAGATAATATACGTTCCGGCAGTCGTTCGATTATTTACTTGGACGTTTATTGTTATGTATTAGTATTATAAAATAATGAAGAAATTATATTAACAAGAATATTATGTTATACAAATATTAAACATTTTCATTTTCCATCCTTCAAAGTAATCACCGTACATAAGAAAATCAAAAAGAAACCTAGAGTATATTTTCAATAAAATATTGGCCTAAAATTGCCGCCCTAGGCAACTGCCTACTTTGCCTGACGCTAAATCCGCCACTGTTACAGATTATAATATATAATATACGTACCACAGTCTCTACGGTCAGGTGAAGTGGAGTGTCTCTTTTCATTACCACGTACCTAATGATGATTGGATGAACTAGGTAAGCGCAATAGGTTGTCCGACTGAACGGTATTAAGATTTTGCAGGACAGTAATTTGTTTATGTAACCTGTAAATCAGATAATATAATCATTATTAATTGTTATACATAATATATATTAGTTAAGTTTTAGCAGATTAGCGGTGTTGAATGACTATAATGATACATTATAACAATGTAGTTGGCCACTAGGTAATACCTACAATAAAATGATGCACATGTGTCTGTATTATCTTAACTGTCTAAATAAGTAGAATTTCAAAATGAATAACGTATAGGTAGATGCCTTTTTTATCTTAAATCTTAATGGTAGACGTATATCTTAAACCGTGTAGAAAAGATATAATAAATTATTAAACTATTATTTTAAAAATAATTTTGATATGAAACATAGTAAATTTTTTATATAATTGACATTAATTAAAAATCCATATTTTAATAAAAATTATTTCGGACATTAGTTTGTACCGTCCCCCCGTCTAAGTAAAAAAAATAGTAGGGGTGCTCAAAAAAAAAATAGTAGGGGAGCTCCGTCCCTCTGCACCCTCCCCACCAATTCGAGCACTGATGGTAGTTATATACCTCTTTAGTACCTTTATGAAATTAATTATATATATATATATACTTAAACACATATTATAGCCATACATAAAGGTACAACGATATACCTAAGATATGAGATGTTAATTGAATGATGCAAACAAAATTTTCCCAACACGGAAATCCTACTACCAAAACATAGTTTAATAAAGTTAATCTAGTTTTTTTGTATTTTTAAAATAATATAAAATATATTTTTTTAATTATTCAAAATTTACAAATTTGGTTACAAGAATATTCAACAGATAGAACACCTTGGTGGCTCAGCTACCATATATAGCATTATAGCTGAATTAGTGGTCTAAATTCTAAAGTTTTTAATAAACAAGTTATAACATATCTAATGAATATAGAAAAATATCAAATTTTGGTTTTTATTTTCATGGTCTGTTTTTCTTTTGGTTTTTTTTTCGTGATTTGTGTGTACGTATGCGTTGGAAATTTAAGGTAACTTACCCCCGTGTCCGGTGGCGCAAGCGATCACTATCCACGATAAGCAAAGGGCCCACAGAGTGTGACTCAACGAAGAATAAGCGGCGGCAACGACCGGATGTAGATCCATTTTATGGAGACCGAATATCAGACTGCAGAGCACTGCCGAGGAAATGGTCCATCCCGCAATCACGGACAACTAGAAATATTAAAACGGGAATGTGATAATAATGTAATCGAACCGAAAATCAAATAAAACGCTACCGGGGCGCTCTTACCGTGTTCATCTTGATTTTGCACTCGGTTTTGAACAGCAGCCATCCGATGGACATGCCCACGAAATATGGCCCAAGTCTCGTCCACGGTTTGTCGTAGATCTTGTCGAATAGCGCCAACGGGTCGTCAATGCTGTCGTCGGAAAGCATATTGTTTGTCATATTTTTTTAATCGCTTTTATATTGTAATAATATATATAAAGAAATTGAATTGTATCCATTACTCACTTTGGCATGTGCTTGTTAGTGTACGCTATGTATCCGGTGGTGAACCACGAGACGACCGTGCACAGCACTAAGATTACTGCCGATACCTTGAAATACCTAAATAGCCAATAGGTACAGTGCGTTTTGAAAACTTGAGCTTAGTCGTAAAATATAAATAATGTAAGAATATTATATTCGTCGATAGCTTCTTCGTCAGTGCGTCAGTCTATTTGTTGACGTAATAACGGGAGGTATTGTTATTATAGTATTATTGTATTTTGGTGTGGGATATTTAGTATTTTTGGTTCTTTTAAACTTACTTATAGACCAAATGGACTCTCCACTCACACCCGCTAATTAAGAGGTGTTATGTTGATATTTTTAAAATAATTATAGTTTTAAATATATTAAAATATTGATGCAAAGTTTTATGAAATATGTCCTGTCTGTCCGACAGTATAACCAGCAATAGTATTGTTGATACGTAATCGTGAGATAGTGCAGAAAAACGGTTCCGCTTGGGAAAAACTATCAAGTTAAATACAAATTCACATACAATTCGAAATAACCGAATAAAAATGAATCTTTCCTAATAAATAATTTGAATTGTTTTTAAATTATTTAAAAATAAATGCATACGTAATAATTTATAATATATAGAGGAATTCAATTATTTTTATTATATAAAACCATATTTTCCATTATTTGCAGGCCTCATGGCTACACGGAACAAAAAGTAAGGACTAAGGTTGCTTTTAAGTTTTAAACATATATGTTACATACATTATACAATATATAACTATTTGTTACATAATCTGTATTATAGGTTTACAATAAGTTTAAGTGAAATGCGAAGGTTAGACATAGTGGCGATTTGTTAACGGAATCTTGGTCAAAAATCAATTGAAGGTTCTTTTTGTGATATGATTATAATATATGATACACGTATAAAACGTCCTACTTGAAATGGAAAATCTCAAAAAATCTATTATTTTATTGAAAAAATTTGTATTTAGATGATAATGACTTGCACCTAACTTGACTTTTAATTGGTTTTCTTTCCAATCTCTATTCCGAGATTTCAATTTAAGTGTTATTTTATTGGTTCTTATTTCGAGTAGGGAGTACCTATATGATTTTACCCATTTTTATTTTCACTGAATAAAAAAAGTTTTACTCATTGGAAACGGCTGTTCAATATTATGGTAATGTGTTCAATATTATAGCATTTAAAACTCGAAGTATCGTAACTCGTTAGGTGGGTACAAGATCTACTAATGATGATATTATATTATTTTTTATCAATATTATTATCTATAATGTTGGAGATTGGCAATGCAAAATTACCTATTTAAATGGACTAAGATATTAATGTTTATCATTCAAAAATCTATAACTACTATTTTATTTAGTTAAAATAATAAACTTCAATTTCTCAATTCCTAGAGTTGCAACGAAGTACCGTAAATAAATATATATATATATATATATATATACACAATGTATATACCAATATACCTGTATAAATAGTCTGTCACAAATATTATTACATTATCTTTGGTTGCTTATGTTTAATAATATTAATCATTTGAAATCTCACCGAACAGATAGTATGAGAAGAATGACACCAAGTATGTAGAACTGTGTGTCATCTGCCAAGTACCAACTCCAGAGCATGCACTTTAACAAAATACGGTAATATATTATAGTCACGTCAGAAAATCGCAATTAAGCATTTTACTAGGTAGATGGTGGATTTTAACTCACCATATCTTGAACGGGGAACAGAGTATTGATGTACAGCAGATTTCTCCACCAATATTTCGGGCAATTTAAGTGGTCGTCTGTCGGAGGATCGAAAACGGAATTGTAATGGAACCATTTCATTGTCAGCTGTACGACGCCCAACGCGAAGAAATATGGTGCGGTAAGTCTGAGTATAAACATTTGGACATTTTAATATTAATTAATCGAATAACAAATAATTGCAGTCTGCAAGTAATTTTGTACGCGCTATTAACCTGCAGAATCGGTAAACCAGAAGTCCTATGAATTCGATAAAATTAGACAAAAAACCTGTGGTTTTGGTCAGTTTGTTAACGTCCACTTTTGCCGTKGTCCTGAAGTAGAGAAATGAAACCAAAAGTCCGCTATAAACACAAGAAAAAACATTTGTTATTTTGTAAATACACTGGTTTTTACAAGTACTTATTTGAAATACTTTTATTATTATTTTATATTTTTAAAGTTATCGTTAAATTGTACCATTTTAGTAATATTGATGATTATTACCAAAAAAATAAAATTAAATTAAACATTTAGAATAAAAATTATTCCATAAGTACGAACAAAAGTGTATTTAAATATTTAATAACACTGCATTTACCTGATGAAGAAGAAAGTGTCTACCGAATACGTCGCTTTGTTGATCAATTGAAACAACAAATGCCGTTCGGCAGTGGTACGGAATTCCATATTGTCTAAAACAAATATTTATTGTATGATACATATCTAACTTTCGTTAACGTTTTTAGATCGTGATGAGACGACGAGTGATGACCTATACAAAGTATGATTACAAGTGATGATAATTACCCGAGTATTTAAATGAAACAATGCAAACATGGCCCAAAACGATCCATACCATGCTCAATGATCGGAGACCGTGAACCGTGGATATCGTGTCTTCGCCAATCGACTTATCGCATATTTGTCTAAAGTTTCTTAGCACTGAAAATGCAAGTAACATATTCACGGCTGTACCTGCAAACGCGATTAAATCATTATGATCAAATTATAGGTACTCTGTGGTGACGACTTTCGGAATATACACTTACAAGTCATCGGTTCGGTTTTAGACAACGTCTCAGAGCTCTTCGAAGATGCTGCATGACATAGAAACACGTTCGAATAAAACACAAATTATTTAAATATTTGAAAATCCAAGCTTACCAGACTCTAAATCTATTTTGGAATGTTCGGAAAGCGGTTCTAATTTGGCACTGCTTACAGCGTACCTGTAATTGTCATACATGAACCCGTTCATTTTGTTACGGTCGTTTTTTTCTAAATACATGTCCAAGCTTGTGCCCAATATCAGGAATACCGTGGTTGTGGCGGATATTATTCTGTAAATGGGAAAATATCGCGGTTTAAACAGTTTAAACACAATGCAATCGATGGTTGAGTTACGCGGTGGACACTTACACGAGGAGCCAGAAAACTCTGTCACCAAACAAGTCGTAGTGATCGTGAGGTGATTTCACTTTGGCGACTTTTACATCTCTTTCTGGGATGTCCTGATGCAGAGTCTGATTGACCATCTCGTCCACGTCTTCTTTGGAACACGAGTAAGGCAAACACAAACCCAAGTGCTGATACCTCTCCTGTTTACCAAAACACATATTATAAGACAATTATATAAGCAATGGGTAAAGTTTAAACTAATTAACTGTAATGTGGAATATTTATGAATGAAAAAAAAACTTTCTTTTAATAATGTATACAAATTACTGTTTCATCCATTATATTTTTTTCTTTGTGGAGACTTCTGCTATATTGTATAATCTAGGTATTATACTATAACTTATACTTAAAGAAAAACATTTATAAGATGAAATAATAATTTTTCTTCAACCTTTCTTAAAATGGGTCAAATATCTGATACTCGCTATACGATATCGCGGCTGAATTAAAAATTGTTTTTAGTACCTAATTAATATATTGAAAACAATAAACACTAATATATTTTCAAAACACATCAATCAGCTTAACCGTAGGCTGAAGACACTCGCTGTATATATATAATATATAATCTTATATTTGATTAGTGGTTATTACTATTGATTGCAAAATAATAATCATAGGTATACTATTGCATCTAAATTATAGGCGTTATTTAGGTAGGTATATAAAATTAATTTGAAATATAGTGTTACATATTTATATTATGTTAATTAAGTAAAATCATATTTACCGTATAATTAATAGGCGCTTTCAAGGCGATGTATGTTTTTATTATATTGAATCCTAGTTTGAAAGGTAGCTCTTCATCATATTCTGATATTTCTGTACACAAACTTTTCGATCCTAACCAGAACGTATTTCCCCAGAAATAACCACTGCTGTAATGTCCACTAGCATCTGACACTATATATAATATGTAAAAAAAAAAAATTATTTAATTTAATTAATATTAACGTGGGGTTAAAATAATAATGATAATATTGGAGATGATGTCTATTTACATCATTTTACGCTTAAATATTATCATATAATAAATAAATAAATAATTTTCGTATTTGGGGAACTTAAGGTTTGAGACTACATTAAAAAGTTCTTAAAGTAGGCTTAAGTTTTTTTTATAATTTAAAGATATATTTAGTTCTAAAAAGTTAAAACCAATTCTAATCAATTAATACAAATTAGTTATACCTAAATTAAACTTTAGATACCAATTAAGATTTACTTAATCTCTATTATAGTTAGGAGGGCACTAAATAATACGCACAGTTATCATTTAATTAAGAGTAGTTATATTAGCATAAAATCACAATTAAATAAACACAACACTCTGTCACCAGTATCCTACCACTCTCAGAGTTAATTAGAATATTAGGTAAGTCTAAAAACGCCAACAAGCGATCACGGCTTAAAAAAATATAATATTTCCAGAATGCTATAATATTACTGCTAGGTGGGTAGGCACTTCTGATGCCGTCGCGACAACTGACAATACAATAATAATTGTTATGATAAAAAGTATGACCGTTCTAAACTATTAAGATATTACATTACTTAGCATGTACTAGTATTATTTATTAATCATAATTCATAATTTATATACGGTAATGTGATAAATGTTAATACGTTAATATAATACATGAAACAATGAGCAAAAAATGTATTTTAAAAGATATGGATATAACATAACATAACATATTTTTATGTATATTTAAATATAGTATAAATTGTACACACAAATTTGATTTTTTTAACTGAATTCATATTAATTTAGTATTGATGGAGTTAATTTTCATATTTGAAGGCTGAAAAAATCTACAGGCGAAATTTATTTACGCCCATTGAAATATTATCCAGGGAAATATATGTATAACAAAATAAAGTGTACTCTTAAGGTAGGTAATAATTATTCGAAATCCATTCCATAGTATGCAGGTGCCCTTAAAAAAGTAGCTGCTCCGATCGACTTTTTTTGTCTAATAAATTAAGCAATAATTAAACTATAAAGTATAGGTAAGCCACGATTTTAGATAATATGCTATAGTACCTATATCTTAAATAATGGTATAAAACGATAAAAAAAATAAATACCTTTGTAGATTAAACATGTATTATTTAATATATAAATGGTTAATTGGTATAACATACAAGCATTTATTCAATAATACTATAGTACCAATAATGTTTTGTTATAGGTAACTATTTACACTGGTATTTCTCTATCTGCAGTTTCATGTTTAAACATAAAAACCAACAACTACCTAAATGATCATTGAATATCTTGATGAATATTTTTTTTACTAAAACATTAAATATACTGAAATAAGTTCTGAAAGTTTTATGAGATTATGATGACTATTAGGTAGGTACATGGCTTGGCGTAACTCGAATAAATTATCTGCGCATGCATTAATTTATTTATCATGCGTGTTAATGGGTGAACCTATAATTATTTATTAATTGTATATTTGCATGTACACTTAAGGTTGTGAGCTTTATTATTTTAATTTTAGACATTGCATAATGCACCTATAACCATTTCTGGAAACAATTTTATTCGAATAATATTGTTTTAATAGCTGAATGACCCGTCGCTCCCGGTTGTAAGTATACAAAACATAAATTAAAATGTCCTTTAGTTGTTCTCACATTCAAAGTGCAATAGGAAAAGCAATTTTCGCACTTACTATATTGTATTGTATCTGTATGTTTGTTTCGATTATAATTATCATTATGTAAAAAATCAAAACATCCAACTCGGGGCACTAACTTGTTAACACTGATCATAAGTCTAAACTAAAGTCCAAATTTGTACAAAAAATGGTGCGCGACCTGTCAGTGTGTCGATTGCTGACTTGCTGTCAGGCGTCAATCGTGTAGTTGGGTAGGTATTGTCGTCGTAAACATAACAATAACGAAAAGCGATATCGACAACAATAATATGACTCGATAAGTTATAACGACAACGATGTAGCAGTAGTAGGAATAGTGTGGGGATTATGCCGGTGGTAGCAACATACGTCACCATATAACAATACGGCCAACATTAAACTTTCAACAACTATTTAATTAACTATTAACTTTTTGGAATTTTCTCTTTTAATGACTTATTTACACACTGAAAAATTGCATTTAAAAAAAGAAAATCATGCAAATCGGTTTGGTAGAACTTCTGAATTTCAGATATAGCTGTCTTAAGACATTTAAGACCTCACGTTTTATTAATGTAATAGATAGATAATAATATGTTTTTACTAAAACAATCTGTTGTTAATTGAGTAAATAATAAAAATTATAATCTTGGGAATTTATAAGATTGCTGCCGTATTTGTTTTTTTAACATGAACTGCCCTAAGTCCCTTAACTACCAAAAGTTGTAGGTATATAGTTAGTCCCTCCTGCAGATTATAAAATAACCACAGATATAATACGTTATAGTTAATTATAATCAGAAGGATAGTTCACATATGGACTTTCCTATAATAATTCGTCACCAGGTCCTAGAATGTTGCGATAAACATTGATTTTTACGACTTGGTAGTTTTAAACCTAAATTTATTACGGTTATTTTGTTGTAACTCTAGTTTCTATTAATAATGCGACTTTGAGAATTAATGGGCAGTACCTATTATAGTTTTAATTTTAAGAACCGAGTAATTATTTAAGAGTAATTAGTACTCTTAAATTTTATGGATGAAAAATAAAAACACTTATAATAAAAAGACAAATAGAATATATACATCAAAACTCAAAAGGATAATGTATAAAAATACATTCGTTTAACGTTCCAGATGAATCGAGTTTACAATTAAACGACAGTTAACTAAAAAAAAAAATATTAATATAGTTAGTAATTTTAACAGAGAGAGATGGCGAGATCTCTTGAAGGCAGCAATGGTCCTCAACGGACCGGTAAGCTGAGAAGAAGAAGAAGAATATAAGGGAGTAGGTATGCATAAATATTTTTTGTAAAGAATAAGGTATTTGCCCCCTTGCTACCCCCTCTTTCAATCACTGAACCACTGCAGGCAGCGTGCAGTATGCGATAAAAAAAATAAAAAAAAATAAAAAAATAGTGGTTGATTATTTTTCGTATAGGTCCCATAATATTGGGCGGTGTTTCAACAACGATCTTGGTTAGTTGGTCGGTAATCGTTTTAGTGTTTCATTATTATAATATTGTTACTACACATTTATTAAATCGACATCCAATCAAAAAAAACATTGTTTACCGACAGTCACGGGAAGTCGGGAAGTATATCGATTATTCAGTAGTTAAAATATTGTTGATTGATCAATCGATCAATGCGTTAATAATGTAAATACGTCGTACGATATAATATATAGTCGCAAAGACCACGTGCGGGCGTCGCGCGTCGTAGCAGATCTTATCGGTTCGTTCATACATAATAATAATATAAATTAGACCAAACGCGGCCAACGGAAAAACGAAAAACGCCGATTCGATGATAATAATATTATGATTTTTTCCGTTAAGGTATTATCGGCAAATAAAAAACCTTTTTTTCAAATGAAAAAAAAACTTTTTTTAAATAAAAAACATACAATTTTTTAAAATCAATAAAGCATTAAATTCTTGTTTCTAATCTTTTATTAAAAAACCTTTTTTTCAAATCAACAGCAATGTTGCGTTTTAAACACGCAAACAAGCAAAGGAACCAGTACGAAAACTCGCTGAAATTGTATACGGGCTTCCGTTGCGTAACGTCATGCGTTGGGAGTCAAGTTCAAGGTTGTTTAGTCTCGTGTACAAACTGTATTGTAACATTCACAAATAAATAATTATAGGAAACCGTGTTTTGTCTGTTGTACGTACTGCATGGTTGCTCGCGGCGACACACGATAATGATATAATACGCATAATATTTAATTATTGTGTATGATATTGTTATTGTTCGTGTATTGTTTAATAATTAATAATGAAATAATCGTCTCTTTGTGTCTATAATCTCGTTGTATAATAATACTGTGTACAAACGAATAAACGTAGCGCACACGTTGCTCCTAGGTAAAATTGATGTGCCCGAGTCGAGTATTATTTTCGTGACGAGTTGGTACTATTATACATTTTTCACTTTCTCCCGTCGTGATTTTTATAGTCCGATACGTATTTCGCGGTAGATCATCAGACGTATAAACGCGTATTATTCGATCGTGATCAATGTATTATCATAATGGTGGATCGGTTTTTTAAGGGCCTATTATTATGGCCACCTCGATAGTAATACATATTACCTTCCTACAACCGTCAACCGAATATGCATAATATTAGATTTTAAAACGCTATACGTGAACAAACACAATGGAATATATTATATAGGTAGATACGACTGTGTATACATATATATATATATATATATATATTATATACCTACACGACTCGCCGTGGTTCCCAAATTGTGCACCGCGAGCACTTTCTGAGGGCACCACGGTCCACGGTTCAAAATGAATAATTTAATATATATAGATATTTTTTTCTTCAAAAATTCGTTTGTCCAGTCTTTCAAGGTATTCACAGCAGGACGCTGTGGCTATGTTTGGTCCAAAAAAGGACACTGCGTAAAAAAGAGTTTTGGAACCGCTATATAGCTGCTATACGTTATGCGGAGTGTTTTTACAAGGGTTTTTACTATACAATAAAAGACATTATTACACGGTACGTCAACACGTGGGAGGTAGTACCTATATGTATAATATAATGTGATGTATTTAAAATATTATATATACCAACA